TTTAAAATTCCAATATTACTAATTTTAATAAAGCATTCAAATAGACTGTATGCTGGTCATTAAGTTTAAGTTGTCTATTTTAGCCTTAAAGGCTTGGCACTGGTATTAATACGATATAGTAATCGGGTGGCTGTGTAATAGAATAAACGCCCTGTGCACGACAATGCATAATATTATGCGCAAGACGAACTATACATTTATAGCCATATAATAAATAAATTTGCCGAGGCGAATATTAATCTATTTCTGCACACGACATTTTGGTCTTCCAGCTAGTCGGCATTAAATAAATAAATGAAAATCGTTTGAATATTCCACGTACAATTTTTGTTAGCGTGGTCGTTTACGTATCTACTTTCGCACGTCATTGTCACCCATTTTGTTTAAAAACCTTTAATTTAACATTGTCACGTGTTAAAATTCCAACTTTAACCCATGCGGCACTTAAATAAATAAAAAAAACAAAAAAAAAACGTGTAATTTGTAATTTTTAAACAACAAAATTATGTGACAGAATATGTAAAATTTAATAAAAAAAAGAAACCTACTGAACGTCTTTCAACTCTACATCAGCAGCGGTGCACTATCTCACCCACCCCATTATAATATTATTCACTTCACCGGAATACCAAATGTCGTCTGATATTATGTTATCGCTGTCGCCCGCTGCTCGAGATGGTTTTTTCTTAGCATGTTTACCATATTATTATTATATTATTATATTACATTATATTTATATCGCATCGCGCCACTCAGACGTGGTGGACCGATTTATTCTGGTTTTCCGAGCCGTTGCATCACGCTGTGGTATGGATATGACTAAATTTCTGAATTTTAAATATATCACTAGAAGTGTTTCAATTGAAATATTAAAAAAAATGAATTTCTTTTCACATAAAATATTTCAATGAAATTATAAAATAAATAATTAAATATATATTTTTTTTTTGTATATATATCCTGGTATAGACAGTTTGTATTGGTTAGTGATTACACATAGCAAACATTGGTAATGAGTGATTTATCAACGTTAATAGCCTTGGTTCAGAAATTACCTAGTTAATGGTTATACATTTATCAGTTATCACTTATCAATCGGGTCTGTATTATTCGTTTTGCTTTTTTGGAGCTAAATTAAAGGGTTAATGTTTGTAATTTGTATAAATTCCTCGCAGACTGCATTATTCATTATTTGTTAATTTTTTCTTGATTAATAAGTATCCATATAAATAAAAAATAGCTAATTACACTTTTATAAGTTTTTAAATATAATATTATTTGATTTCCAAAAAATATCAATTAATTAATATTAAATATTTTATTTAAAAGATTTATATTTATTTGACACGTGAATGAAACATTTCAAAAAGCTAAGTTTCATAAAGTTGATATTATAACATTATTATTTATTATAATAACTTTTGACGGACCAGATATATAGTGGTACATTTAGTTTGTGATTGTGTATGTGTGTGTTTAATAAAATATATATATTTAAAACTTGGTAGTTATTAATTGAAATTTTAAATGTATTTTTACGTCCTGTTGATGTAAATTTAAAATAGCGTTTATTTAGTAACAACTGAAATATCCCTTTTTGAGTAAAAGTTAATATTGTTAAATATTTCTATTTCTACTGAGATGCTTAGTTGTATTATGTAGGTATTCAAAGGCTGTAATTTATCATAATTTATCAGATAGGTCATAGGTATTCAAATAATCTATTTACAATATTCTGCTGGTACTATTAATTTTATTAATGAAATATATGTTATCTATTTATGAAAAATGAAAAATATTATTATGACTTAAAGAGTATTTAAAGAAGGAACTAAAGGAGTTAGTATAGATTATAAAACCCAATGATATCGTATATTATTAATAAAACTAGTAAAAAAAAAAAAAAATATCATAATAAAACCTTTGACAACTACGATATATCAAAAGATTAGATTCAATAATGATGTTAACGCCAAGAAAAAAAATAAAATATATGTATCAATTATTTGCATGAAGTAATCCGTGTGTGTATGCGTGGGTTGCGTAAAATACATTATTTACCAGTATAATTAATTAATACATTAATAAATAAATTAAATTAATTTGAGTTGATCAAATAAATCTATTCATACTATTTTGCACTTGTCTTCCATATTATTATATTCTGGGAGTATAAATTAAAATATAAACTATGCATACATATTACGATATGGTAATTATTAATCACTTTATAATAATTGTTTTTAAGAACATATTTTTTAATTTTATTTTCCCTGTTAGGTTGTGCGCCATACTATCGTGTTGCTTGAGACTCTACTACCCATAATAAATACGCGTGCATTGTCGACGGTGACAATTTTTATAACGCCCTAAATTCAAAATAACGATCTCGTTTGCACATTAGTTTTCTCAGACCATGGAATACAGTAAAGATAGCCGTTTATGGTTTTGCTACGCGTAATATTGTTGTATAGTCAACACGATATCGCTGTATTTTTCTTCTTTACATGCTGCCAGTAAATTTATTGATTTCATTATAAGATATTTTTCAAAGCACACTAAAATATATTCTACAAAGTCAGTTTTCTTTTTCTTTTCTTTTTTGTACACACGTTAAATTAAAATTTAGTAAAATTCAGTATAAAATTGTATTAAAGTTGTATGCTGCGTGATAAGCGTAAGACAATTTTACATTTCGCTATTAAATTTATTTTAGAATTTACTAGAAAAACGCATCCTTATTGATTTTATCATAATATTATGATTTCCTATATCATTTATATCAATATAAATACATTAAATTATGAAATATTATTTTACAACAATTAGAAATTTGTGTTATAATTATTACTATTTTTATTTGTGATTATATTAAAAATTTTGTTTTATGAAAAAATCTGATGCTTTACAAAAGGACTCTTTTTTTTAATGTCAAATGCATAAAGTACGTTACTTATTTTATACTTGACATTCTGTTTAATCTATAATGTCTAATATAAAAGAAAACGTTTTAGTTTTTTATTATTGTTGTACAGTTGTATGTATGTGCATAATATTTGAAGTATACAATTCAAAACTAGAACAATAATTCTTTAAGCTTTTAATTTAAATATAAATAATAGTTTGGAAAAGAAGAAAAATATTTAAAACTTAAAATAATTGAACTTTACAACATAGAATCATATTATAAGCCACATGAATAACAAATCTGAATTTTATTAGTTTTCTGACAAAATAAACTCAAGAAAAAAATGAATGCTTTGTTTTAAAATTAGTGAAAAAACAACATAATATAATGTTTAACAAAATCCAAATGTCATAACTTTTTAACAACCTACATTAACCTAACTTTGAGTATTATACGCTTTTTATGTCTAATCATTTTAAATTCTTCATTTATAATTCTGAAAAATCAAGACTTCTTATGTAGTATCTCAAACATTAGTGTGTTACTATTCATATTTTCCTACTGAACTACTAAACTAGGTGACAAAAGATACTTAAGGGCATTTTTGAAAACTTTAGTATATTCTGTATATTTTATTTTACACGAATTACAATATTTTGGTTTATTATTTTTAAATATCATACTATCACTGTAGGTCTTTTATTTTCGTGTATTTTCAATATATAAATTGCTTAGTTTTGAAATGTATGGCATAAAGTTAATTATATAATTAAATTTAGTACTACAAAATAAAATTTGCATTTAAAATTGTTACCTAATCATATTATATTTTGTGAATTTAACCCACTGATATACTTAGTTGGTAAAGTAAATACGTATATAAAACAAAAATTTGAATATTGATCTAAATTACAGCAAAGAATGATAATTTAAATTTAAAATTATTAAAATAAAATAATTTAAAAAAATTAGTTATATTGAAAATTAGTAGGTATGTAATTCATTAATTAAAAATAACTATATTTATTTTAAGATAATTTTATCTCGTATATGGTTTGATGCTACATGCTCAGTGCATAATGTACACACATATAAGATGAGCTTTGTAAAGTTATTTTATTTTTTTAATTATAAATTTTGATGCTTCAATAATTAAAATTATTAGTTTATAATACATATAATTAGCTAATAAAATGCTTAATAATATGATTTATGAAAGAATATAAAATGAAATGAATTAGATACTTAATATAAACTATTTATATTATTTATTAATGACTTGGGTATATTAACAATGTTAAAGCTTTTTATAAAAATAACGTTTCTAAGTGGAATTAATTATTTTCATAGTAAGTTCATTTAAAACGCTTTGTTTTGTCAAAATTAAGTGTGTAAAGATTACATCTAGGGAGTTTTTTAAAAATATATTGATTTAGTGCATGAGAAATATTGAATATCAGTCAAGAGTTTTTTTTTTTTTTTTGATAGGTAAATAAACTAAGTGTATCAAATTGTTGTCACATAATTTATATTGCTTAATACCTCATTGATATATGGTGGTATATTTTTGATAATAAATTAACTGACCAAAATGACAATTGGTTTTATTATATACTGTTTGGTATTTTATGGTTTTGTACAATTATTATCAAATTTTGGATAATTATATTATCATTAGTGGTAATTTTTTTTTGAAAAAAAAAACGATTATTGGATATATGATACTATGCAGACTTAGTATCTGTTTTGATAGAAATTGATTTTTGAATTTAAAATTACTAAATTTGTGTAATACCATCGATGGTATATTTTAGCTTTTTAACTTGATATTATTTAATAAAAAATGAATGAGAAGTTGTTTTGATAAATTTTGATATTTTTAAAATACGTTATTATATTTTTGGTTTCCGGTGTTTGAATAGATATTTAAATTATTTTTAAATTGAACTGCAGTTTTTGTAGTAAGTACAATATGTACATATTACATATTTTAATATTTTAAACAAGTATAAAATTATTAACGAAAACATTATACCAATACTCCAATGTTCAAATATTTGAAAATAAGAATTTAAAATTTGAAATAACTTACTGTTTGTCAGTGACCGAGTTGTTGTAGAGAGTAAGCCTTGGCACTGGGTAAACGCCAGAGACCATGCAAGTTACTCGTATAGTATCGTTATTGACTCTCTTCTGATATACATCAAATTTCTTCTCTGGGGCTGAAAAAAAAAACAACCGAAAAAAATAATTAGTCGCTCTGGCAAATACATTTAGCACAAAGTTACATGTTTGCAAGACATGTACAAAAATAAATAAACAAATATATCCTAATCACATGAACGAGGTATGAATAATAATTACAAACTTAAAAACCAAAAAAAAAACCGTACGGTTAATACTCGGAACGAGCTTAAGCCGTACACGAGAAACGTAATCGGCACACAGAGGCAGCTCAACGGTTAAGTCTTCTACCCTAGAGAGTGAGAGTGTATACAGGGTGATTTGGTAATTTACCAAGCATGAACAGTCCGCTTTTGTCCTTTAATAATGCATTTATTAAAATTCAGGCTTACGTTTTATTATTATTTAAGAAGTTTCTTTTGAATACAATCTTATTTTTATATAAATGAGAAGTATCTTTTATTACTGAACATTATTAAGCAGATAATAGTATTTATTTTTTTTTTTAAATTTATGTAAGTATTTAAATCGAAATTAAGTAGTGTGTGCGTTATTAAATTTTATGAACATACTAAGGATAATAGTTAACGATATACTAGCTTTGACAATTTGAAAATTATGATAATTTATAATAAAATATTTATAGTATTTTATATTTGAAAAAATTGTTTAATTTAATAAATTATAAACTGAATATTATTATACTTAATGTGAAACTATTATAACACACACGTACAATTAATTAATTCACTACTTAGTTATAAGGTATCATTTTTAATTTTGATCAAAGTGTATCTTTACCTAATACATCAAATATATATATATATATATGCTTTAAAATTAATAACAAAAATAAAATTGTGATTTTCGCTTGAAAAAAATAACATGAAACACTTCTTAAATTTATTAACGAATTCAAAAACATTTTAAACTTGAATTTATGTACCCTTAAACATCTAAAAAAAAAAAAAAAATTGGATAAATGCTTGTTTGAAGGAAAAATTGTGGTGAATCACTCTGTATAACATTATACGGTCAAGTATTTGTTGTCATAGTTTTTTTTTTTTCCGTAAGGCTCATGATATTCGGCCTATTAGATTTTTCATTAAAATAATAACGTCACCGGGAACGGTAGTGTTTACGTCCTCGGTTATTAACTGTTTTTTTTTTTTTTTTTTTGGAAAATTAGCTTTGGGAGGACCGATGCCCCGGTAAGGTACAGTATTGAGGAGGGTAAAGAGGTCGACGCTAAGGGTCGGCTGGTGTCTCACTATAAAAATAAAGGGCTAACGACTGTGGAGTCATGTTGTTTCATATTACGTACGTGTGCTTGTTGTCTAAGTATATATACATATATATATTATATTTGTATATAAATGAATGCGTTTGCTTCTCTCTCCTGTATATATATATATATATATATATATATACCGTTATCACTCCGCACTGTTCCGTATTTTTATCTCTTTCACTCACTCTAAAATGTTGTCTTCATTCCTTTTTTTCCCGTTCAAAGACGATACTCTTCGGCGTGGCAATCGCGTTTTTTTGGCAAACAGCCACAACGCACCGCATGTATACCGCTCGTTGCAGCTGTATCTACCACCAGCGTGTTCGCAATACGATATGCGAATATAATGGAAACCCAACAGCCCACAGGAGGGGAAAAGAGTGGGCACTGCAGTACTTTACACTTTTGGCAGCTACATAATTTTTATCCCCCATCCACCCAACACTAAAACCATCGAGATATTATGTGAAAAAACTGACTTCGATAATGTTTCGCAACACAATGGTCATGCCATGTTTTACATTAATATTAGTTCCAGGGGTGGGTATTTAAGGAAAAATATACTTTAGATACCGTCTTATATCTAATTTAGTAATATTTTTATAATTTACATGTGTTAAAAATGTAGTTCTTAATAGCTTACATAATATATTATGATATTTGGTTTAAATTAAAGTAGTACACAGAAAAAATAATTAACAACAAAAATCAAACTGAGAACAAAAATACCAATATAATTATTTAATAAATACCTTTATATTATTAATACAAAAATATAGTTTTTATATTATTATAGCCTATTATATTATACAGTCTATCTTTAGAATGATATTAATATTATTCCATGATGTTACGAACATTTAAAATTAGCTATTTAACAATAATTAAAAAAGTGTACTAGTAACCAGTAGGCAATCACTATCTCGTCAACGAATATTTTAATCTAATAAATGAGATAATTTTGAAATTCAAATTTAAAAATGTATCTACAATAAAATATTTTGAGTGAAAAATAAATCTAGGTATATTATTCTTGAATTACAACAAAAAACTAACTTAATAATTCTCTGTATAAATAATGTACAATCTCGTCAATTTATAATCAAATTTCAAATGTTTATATAAATATTTTATTTAAGATGTTTATGTTCAAATACAAATTTCTTATGATCAACCAAGTTTTTGAAGAAAAAAATGAACCAGCACTTGAAAATTTGTCAATTTAAATTTCAAAATAAATATCTACAATTGTTCATGATTTTTCATAACTTTGTTAATCATTTGACTTAAAACAATTATAAAAAAGTGAGTTTTGGGAAATAATTCAAATTGAAAAGCAATTTTAAGAATATTTTTAATAGTTTATTTTTGCCTTTTTCTGAAATTTGTTTAAAGTTTAAATTTACAAATATTTTTTGAACTAGAATACCAATTTAGTTTTTATAACATGACTTTTAAGTGCATTATGAGTCGAAGATACATTTTTGATTATTTTATGTCTAGATCTGCCAATTATTACCTCATAATATGTGTGTCATATTTTTGATTGCATATCATCCACCAGTTTATTAATTCGTTTGAATATTGTAATATGGTGGTGTAGCTAGGATTTTGTAAGGGAGAGGGTTTTGGTGAAAATCAAACTTAATATTTTACTGTTTTCGTTATGTTTATTGTCCAATTGAACTATTCAAGAACAAAGTTTTGTTATTAACAATATTATAATAATATAGTATTATAAACACTTCAATATGAAAATAGAATTAATGAAATATACAATAATGTAAATTATACATTTTTTAGATGTAGAAAGACGATGCAGGGGGGGGGTTAAAACCCAAACCCCCTCCTTGTTTACGCCACTGTAACGGATACAAATCGAAATAAGGTAATGCATGTAATGCATCAAAATCACCACGTTTAATATAGCTTATGCATTATTTATGTTAATTTTATACTTGCATATAACATAAAAATATTGCAATACACGCACATGGTACGTCACAGACCGCACATATTAAATAGTTTTTTTCGAGTAGATTTTTATTTCGATCAATGTATACGTTGTCGCACGCACGCTTGGTTACGAAGTTTACTAATTTTATAAAAACAATATGTATACATCACATATCAATATCGTGCTTTACGATTTCCCTTAGGAAGACGGGTAAAACGCGTTGGTTCACGATGTATGTGTTGGTATATTATTTTATAATAGTCCGACTCAACTGTGTTAAAAATAAATAAAAAAATTTGGTGAACAATGTTCATTCATAAAATATATTTATAAACGGAGCATAACATTATATGTTTAAAGTTTGTTATTTGTATTTTCCCATGTTTACTCTGAGTATACCGTACACATTGAATTAAATCGCACCATAACATTGTGCACCGTATATATATATATATATGTATATTATATAAACCAATCAAAAAACGACCACGCAGAAATAAAATATATAAAACCATAAAATGTGTGTATGTGCTGCAAATTGTGGGTTAATAGTATTATTATAGTTAAATATATATATGAAAGAACTGACATGTTTTTGAATTCAAAGTACTTTTTATCACGTTGTTTATTTGTTTTTTTATAAATATCAAAAATAAACTTATTATTTATGTTTCATTGTAGAGTATACACTCAAAAACGATAATCAGACTACATTGGTAGTTTGTAAATTAAAATTTATACCGTTGGTTCAGCCACAAGTTTTGTTTTTATTTTTTCATCCGAAGGATTCTCGATCAATACATTACACTTTTCCGAATTGATTTTTTTTAAGTAGTCAAACCATGGAATTCTTAAGTTTAAAATGTTCATAAATTATTTAATTTGTTCGAAATGGGTATACGGGATGAAATTGATAATATCGTTAGGTATTATACAGACGGTAGTGACAAGGAACGTCGGTAAATGTGGGAAGTTTTAAGAACAACGCGAGAGTTCAGGGGAGAGTCATCATAAACTACTTTTGATGACGTAAAATAATGTTAACTATTTTTTTCTTAAGGTTTTCAAATTTAAGTACATTTTTTTCCGGTTACCGGGAACTTTTCCTGCAAGGCGCATAATTTACCCTCCGAGCTTCTGGTGTGTGTTGCTCTCTCGCGGGTCATGAGTTAGCACGTGTGGTACAGTTTGTGGCGGCAGGGTGCATGAAAAACAAATGGTGCTGTCCACGAAATGTCACCGTGAAAAAAAAAGTGAAAAATAAAGGACTTCGAATGAGTGCATTGCATGACAAATATGCCGGAGAGTAACTTTGTCGATTTTGTTCGCACTAAATTTAAACGCAACAAAACGACCGTAAAGCGTCACGACACGTAATTTTTTTCCTACAGCCTAAATTGCATAGGGGAATCCTACCCTCCGGTTCCCGCGCCTGTTGTCATTATTTATTTATTACGTCAGCCCGACCTTCATTAGAGAAACACGGGTTCTCGACTTACTGAACTATTATAATATATTGCATACACGTGTACACGTATATAATATTATATAGATACTAAAGCTACGATGAAGATGTTGAAAAACAGTCACTGTTGAAGGATAGGAAAAATAAGATGGATACAAAACCAATATACTTAATTAACCTAACCTTAATTATAATATATGTACATCAGCTATTTACCATCGGGTGCACTGGTTCAATAGTTCTCAATAAATGTCTCTTATTTATAGATTTATTACATATAGGTATAAATCGGCTATTCTTTATTTAATACGCAATTGAATGTTAT